GAACAACGTTTCATGGCGTCGGTTCAGATCTGCAATTTGGTTGCCTAATTCAAGGTTCATCGCTGGCATCTGCGTAGCTTGCTTGACTTGCAACTGCTGGCAAGCTCAACCCGTCCATCCAATCGAGTCCCAGCAAATCTAACCCCGGTTGGCTTATCACAAAGCACGTTGTGTGGATTTGTTGACCATGGAAATTGACTTGACAATTCAATTCATCAAGGAATTATAACGTGCCACCTGAAGCATTCCGTGCCGTATGGGTCGTTTGTACGAATGTTGGCCGCCCTAGCCTGTGCCACGTGTCGTTGGGGATCAAAGTGATATATGAAGCAATATCAAGTTGTAACTTGACTTGTCTGCCTTTGATTTCCACCATGGTGTCTTACGCCTGTTGATGCCATCAACTTTGAAAGTCGCAGTAATCGTTCTGATCCCATCGGGCCGTCTGAACGATGTGGCATTGTTGCGCTTCTTTCTGGACAAAGTAGGACCACGTGCCAAACACCACGACTCTTTACGACCTCTTCTGCCGCACGGCCGAAGCTGAATCAAGCAGCCTCCTGAGAAATTTGGATCAGAAGAAGCCTACAGGTGCTAAGGGTGATCTAGTTCTAGTTTGATTTACGCACTTCAAGCGGTCCGTGGTCGAAGACAGTTGTGGAAGAAATCATGCAAGGCAAAGACCAACTGGTTCGACATGCGTTGGTGAGGACAATCAAAGGTACCCAGAGAAGGGACGCCAGACAACTCTATTTATTAGAAGCATACGAGGAAGAAGATGATGAAGTTGTCTCCTATAGTTCTGTCCAGCAACCGCGAACGCCAGACACGGAAGACGATGAGCGGACATGCTCAGTACGTGCCCAAGCCACCACAGCTGACGCAGCAGGACGAGCTCCTCAAGCGAGTAGCTGCCTCCATCCAAGACACGCTAACTTCCCCATTGGTTACGTGGTGCAGCCACCACACACGGGCAATGGACCGCAAGCAACGGTGCTCAAAGACAGACAGACGGCGCAGGTCAATGGTACAAACAGGCCAAATCCCGCAAGCGTATAAAGGTACAGCGTGGGCAGTCGCATAATAATCCTGCCCTTTGATGGATAGACGGATGTCATGGCGGCGCCACAAGTGCCTCAGCTTAGAGAAAACGAGGCGAGCTCTTGAGATACGCGTCGAAATCTCGTCTCCAACAGCTTCACCGGCTGTGATACAACTTCCTATGTAGGCAAAACTCTGTGTAACCTCCAGTGTCTCACCATCAAGAGTGAGTGCAGGTACAGGCATCTGAAAGTCTTGGAAAGGAGCTTTGCACTTGGATGGGGAAAAACCATCCCAAACTTTGACGCATCAATCGATAAGCGGTTGAGTGCAAGTTGGACGGTCTGTGGACCGTCACCCACCAAGACGATATCATCAGCGTAGTCCAAGTCAACAACTCGGCTACCTGGGAGGAGCTCAACGTCAGCGCTCAACGAATATTCCAAAGCATTTTTGAGGACATCCTCAATGGCAAAATTGTAAAGGGATGGGGAGATAGGGCATCCTTGTCGAACTCCACTGGTGACAACAAAGGAAGGCGAAAGCTTGACATAAGCCATAACTCTACCCGAGGTCAGACTGTACATAGCACGCAGTACGGAAACGAACTTCCAGGGGACACCATTCCTCAACAAACAGTGCCACAATGCAGACCTGTCGACAGAATCGAAGGCAGCGCGGATATCCAGGAACACAACAATCGTTGCTTTTGGTACACATGGCGGAGCTCGAGGATCTGGCGGAGTGTGAAGATTTGATCGATGCAGCCGCGGCCAGGGCGGAACCCAGCCTGTTCTTCCCGCTGTAGCGATTCGCGCATTGGAGATAGCCTTCGAAGTATGATGGACACCAGAACCTTACAAACGACGGGAACCAAGCTGATACCCCTGTAGTTGGAGCACATTGTGCGCAGGCCCTTTTTGAAGATGGGGACGACTATCGACTCACCCCAAGATGATGGAACCTCTTTCAGCCAGACTTCTGAGAACAAAGCAGTAAGTTCTCGAACCAGCGAATAGCCGCCATCTTTAAATAGGGCGGGAGGTAAGCCATCAGGGCCCGGTGCTTTATAGCGCTGCAAGAGGCGGAGTTCCTGCCAGATTTCCTGGTGAAGGAGGATCTGTGGGGACAGACCACTCAGCACCAGTGAGCGCTCCAGGGGAAGCAGATGGAGCTGGTGGCCAGCAAAACTGCGAGCCAAAGTGTTCAGCCCATCGTTCCAACCGTCGTTGAAGATTAGTGATTAGTGGGCCATCCTCTTCGCAAATCGTTTCGCTTACTCCAGATCGGAAACCTTCGGTGGCTCGGATAAGATGGAAAATTTTTCTGGTATTACCAGAAAGACTAGCAAGTTCCATCTCTCTAGCACATTCACACCACCAGGTTTCACGGTCCTTTTGTAGACTCCTGCGCAATTCTCGATCTAGGGATCGTCGTTCTTCACTACAGCTAGAATCGGCCGGGATCGAGCGGCGTCTGTCCATCAGCGACAAGGAGACATCAGTGATCCAGCTTTTCGGCGAGTGATGGGTGACTCCGCAACTATCAATGCTGGCAGAAACTAAAGCATTTTTGATGCGCACACACTGTGAATTCAGATCATCATCAGAAGCTGGGATAAGTAGTGTTGACAAGGAGGCCTGGTATTTGGCTAACGTCGTAGGGTCTTGTAGGTTTTCTACGCTCAGTCGGTAGTGCGTACGCCTAGGCGGTCCTCCGAAACGCATGCATAACTTAGCGCGAACCAATGCGTGATCGGAGTCCAGACAAGTTGACCAGTACGAACGGCAGTCTGATACGCTTCCGCGCCATCTGTAGCTTATCGCGATGTGGTCAAGCTGGGACCACTCTTGCGTTTGAGAAGGCGGGCGCCAGGTAGCAGTCTGTCTCTTCGAGTGTCGAAAACTGGTGCTCGAAAGAAACAAGCGATGATCAGAACAAAGAGTCAGTAGTCTGTCTCCATTGTCTGATCGACTGCTACCGAAGCCAAAACTACCCCAAGATGGTGCTCGCTTGGTGTCAGGCGGCCCACTCGTGCATTTAAGTCTCCGGCAAGAATGACAATATCAGACTTTTTAGCGGAACGCAGAAGGTCATGTAGTTGTTGGTAAAAGCAATCCTTGACTGCATCCGGGCTGCAGTTTGTAGGAGCGTAGGCGGAGACGACAAATAAAGCGCGTGTAACATCTCGACGCTTACTTAACTTACATGAACCTCGAAGTCTGACTGCACATAGCCGACTGTTGACTGGGATCCAGTCAAGCAGAGCGGACTCAGCCTTGTCACTCAGAGCAACCCCAACACCAGCCTGGCCAGAAGCGGCAGCCTTTGGGTCACCGGACAGGCGCAAATGGTAGTTGACGTCAGGGTTTGCAGGAGAGACCATTCTGATGACGGTATTGGAGTCTCGTAATCTAGTTTCGGAGGCAACAGATGTCTACCGAGAGCGTCTCGAGAGTGCGGGTCAGGCATGCGTGTCGTCCGATCTGCATCAGAGTGCGAACATTGAACGCTGCGAGGCTGAATGGAGAACCAGGTAGAAGAAAAGCTGGGGCTTCGGTGGAGTGTGAAAAAACTGTCATCGCCGGACATCAAACACCAGGAGTTTGACTGACTTACGTCAGTGCGACCAGTGAGGTGCTGTTGGCGGTGACCGGGGAGAATATGAGCGTAGTTGAGTAATGGGACGTGGGACGATCTGTGAGTGGAAGTTCAACAAAAGGAACAATAGGGCACGTAGACATAGCAAGGGAGAAAGCAGTAGTGTTGTCCGTCTAAGATTCATCAGTGGGCGCGATACTACCCGGTTGCCCAGGCCGAAGTAGAGGGTTGTCTTAAGGGGCCCTACCCCGAGCTTTTGATCACGGATCTAACCTACAAGGCATCAGGGCGATATGAAGGCGTCGCAATCCGTTGGGAGACGGTGACTAGACAAGTGGCTCATAGACCTTTAGGTCTTGCAAAGGACCAGGGGCCCAATACACCCTGAAGTTACAATATTGGTACATGGCTCGGGCACATCCTTCCATAACAGACAGTCCCAAAGAACATAAGGATTCACCGAAGCGAAAGCACCTTTGATGTCCAGGAACACGATAGGGGTGGGCCGCCAATATATGTGACGGTGCTCCAACAAATGACCTAAATTGACCCACAATGTGTCCCGAGATGAACCTTCCATAGTTGACGGTAATATGGACAAGTTGAATTCAGAGCAGCGCATCGTTCGGTAGACAATAGGTGATAAAATTCCGCCAGATGTAGCATATGAACTTAGACGATGCTCCGAATACCAACCATCCACGGACGTCATCCATGCGCTCGTCTAGACGCGCACCAGCAGTAGACAATGAGGTGCAAGCAGGTGCTTGTTCACGAACTTGTTTTAAATCACAATGCCTAGGATGCGAAGGTTAAACAAAGTCAGCACAGTTCTGGACAACGCAGACGTAGCATAGAACATGTCCGGAAGATGGGGTCACGCTCCCTGCCAAACATTGTTCGCTCTGTCCATCTGTGTTCACGTGTCGTCTAGACTCGGACATCACGACTGCTCGCTCAAGCTCTCAGTGTGAGACCATTTTGACCACATTCACAACAGGCTGGCTCAGGGCAGGGAACGTGATCCCATGTTCCGGACATGCCTTCTCTGGTGTGCCTCGTGTAAAACTGAGGATATATCTTATCCTATCCCAGACTTTGAGGTTTAGAACCAGTTCGTGAACAAGCACTTGCTTCCACTCTCCCTATTATCTAATGTTGGTGCGTACCTAGATGAGCGGATGACTGATGTCCGCGTAGCAAGACATCAATCGTCGATGATTTCAATCTGTTGCACTACGACTGCAAGCGAATGGGTTAAGAATACAATTAATTGAGAAAAAGTATAGTCAGAATTGTTGATAGCATATCAAGTGCAGATAACAACTACATGACGGATACTGCGATGAGAACCGAACCTCACATTGCTCCCTTAATTTGGTGAAGCGTGATTCCACACAAAGGGCCTCATCCCAGAACACTTGGTCACCGAAAGCCAGATCTGGCTGCAGGACATCACATCGCAAAATAGGGCACAGCGACGCCAAACACGTTGAATTGGCACCCGTGTAAAGGCTTGTAGCATGCCTGTTTTTCATATGCAGATCTATACCCTCCTCGGAGTAAAAGCGCTTGCCACATTGGTTACATTGCCAGTCACGTGCAGAGTTTTGCAGTTTCATCAATTCCTGCAAATGATAGCAATCAAGCCGAGGGTTCCACGGACAGGCTTCGGGGATTTCGACGTGGCCAAATTTGTACAACGGATAAACGATCTAAAATAGATAGATGGAAAATCAACAGAACCTACCTCTTGTAATATGTGTCGAGCAGATCGGCTTTCTGCCCTGCTACACAGGTTCAAGTCTCTTATGTCTATTCTTGTGCGATCGAGGAAGCCATCTACGCACAGTGCAACCGTTAGGCAAATGAGTAGATGGAAAGGAACAAGTATGAACATAGGCTAGGATCAAGGGTGGATGCAGCCAAGGTTTTTCTAAAAAGTATGAAAACGAAAGAATTTTTCGTTATACCCAGAAGAAGCCAAACGGAGGAGGTTAAACAAAAAAGGCCAGTCAAACTGAGGGAATGGAAAGAGTGCTTAATGTTTGATACAAGGGTCATATGCATCAAACTGGAGTAAGGAAATCAAAAGATTGGATCAATGCGAGTATGGTTTACCTAAATGTTCTACAGTCGCAGCAAAAAGATAGAGGAAAGAGAACTGGTAAAGGATCGAAGATGGTATCTGTTTGAATCTGGCAGAGTCAATAACCTGATGAACAAAAGATGGCGATTGAGAAGCGAAAAGTGACGGAGTCTCCTAAGCAATACTTCAGATGGAAACCAGCGTAGATGAATGAAATAAGACAGATGGGATAAAGGATGATTCAAGCAGGCATTCTTGTTGGAAGTCTGTACGGCAAATGATAGAAATTTCGTATAGATAGAGTGCTGGATAATAAATTAGGGTCGATTATTTAACGAGTGAATGAAAGACACTTCGATTTTGCTTCATAAAACCGGTTAATTCTGGGATATTTATCGATATGTTAGTCGCACATGTCAGATGAGAGCTAAAGTGTCTCATCTTCGTCACCGAAAACGTCATCATGGCTGATGGCGACTGAGAACAGGTGACATTTTAAAGGGATTACCAAAACTACCAATTGTTACGCCATACCTTGTGAAGGGAACAAAATATTAAGTAACAGAAGCGTAAAACGCAGTAAATTAGGCGCGCGTTAATCTACCTACTAAGAGATATATTTCATTCTTCAATGTACTTGATCATCCAAGACTATGTTGGCAATGATAGTTCAAGGCACGTTGTGATTCGTCAGGCGTGAGCGTCGTTAGAAAACCACACAGAAGTTCGAGGTATTCGTTACAGTTCCACTCAGCAATGCCTGGCGAACGGATATCTATCCTGTCTTCAATTGGCGGGAATTATCTGTAAGTAGTGATCATGAAGCCCGTTTGTTGAGATGATGACATGCAAACGATGAAACAAAGACGGACGAGTGATCACATGTTTTACGAGTCTCATCGCCGTTCCTGCACCAAAGAGCACTGTTTCAGTAAAAGAGACATCCGCAACAAATGCGACCGCGGCTCATGGCGTGTAGTGCATACACTCTCCAGCGGTCGGTTAGAACTAGTGGATATGGGAACTCAGTTATCTAGCTTAATGGATGATCGATAAGTGCATCAAGTGAGTTCTAGTCTCAAGCACTAGTGAGTAAATATGCAACTAGAACCAAGAATAGTGTGTTGCAGATAAATTGTGATAGGCAGTTCACGTAAACTCATCCCCCCTTAATGTTGCACGCAATAAACAGCATGTAATCCGAATAACGCCAACCAATCCAAATAAACAAGCGGACGGTACGCAATCGGCTTTTGCATCGTTGATGTACCCAGGACAAGGCATATAAGTGCGCAAAGATCAGACAAAAGCGTAGCAGCGAGTCTAACCAGACTGAGATCGGATGTAGCTCACGTTCCGTCAATTTATATACAGTGAAGACAATAGCACAGAGTTATAGGCGCATAGCGTATCTTCGAAACAAATACATAAGACAACATAGGAGAAAGCACCCTACCACTAAGTTTTGAGTTCAGTGACAATGTGCACAAGCTCCAGGGTTTGTTTGAAGCCAAGCGATAGGTTCGGTTATTTCCAGTATCGCACAATTTGGGTTAGAACGGTGACTACGAGAGATGGACACGAATAAACCTCTCAGAGTGACGGCATGTAAGCGGTTTAACCATGAAGCAAAATCAGAGATAATAAGCAGCATATTGGCGAAGCTCGTGGCTTTTCAGAAATCCAATCATCTATGGAGACGGTCTGTCAATCAAAGGTAGAGTGCATAAAGCTATGAAAAAACCAGTTGTTGTCGTATGGACCAGAAAGCTAACTAATTCGCGCTGAAGACATGAAGTGATTGACAATCTTTGATTACCAATGCTGCTGGGAACACCGTTTATATAACGGAGGAACTGTCTGTCAAGATACCTGCCGGTACCTCATTGGAGTATTTATTAAAAGTTAGCCGCTAGCTTTGGCTAGATCAAGTCCTTTGAATGCCCGTTTTCCTCGGCGTGTATTATACGCGGTTATTACACCTAGTTGGGTGAAACCGCAAGCTGCACAGCAGATGACGTGACGTAAAGAAATGAATTTAACCAAGGCATGCTAGCGTCTGCCGTCTCCGAGGATGGAGGCCTCCGGATGGATCACACCAATGGTTGAAGACCTTGTAGGATATAGCAGTCAGTGGTGTGCTTGTATTTGGTTTTCTGCATTCAGCTGTTAATATTAGAACCCAACTGTTTCCGCTCACTTCTTAACTCTTTTTTCTTCACGCTGTTTACATTTTACCTTATTTTTGTACTGATCACACGAATCCTGGTAACTGGCTTTACCGCACCACTTCAGTGCTGGGATCACAACCAAAGTGAACCAAGTCAGCGACTGGAGCCACGGGATCCTTATATTATGTGGGTGCATTCACGTACCATTATGTATCTGGGCCATCAGAAATGTCGATTTATGTCTGTTATCCAGCAATACGAGTGCTACCGATAAGTGAACGAATTTAAACGAACGACATACTAACGTCACAGAGGATTTGGAAGGCTACTTGGAAATGCAGTGACGGAAATTTTTAGTCGTGTACATGGTAAATATGTACGTCAGCCGCACAGGATTCCGTAACGAGCGTTAGCATCATGGTAATCCGAGGCCCATCAAACGAAAAACAGCCATGGGTCTAAAAGAGATTATTCAACGATAGAACGAACTACCCGAATCAGTACAGGATAGCTGATCAATAAGGGAAACGAGTCTAACGAAGAAGCGTCAGTGTGCACTGCTACGACTTTTCTTTTGCTTGTAGCGAAAGAGCACCGAACTTCGGGGCTACATATACTCTTGTAGTTAGAAGAGTCGAAAGCGTCTGGTTCTAATAACCTGGTTTCATCATTGCTTGTTAGCAGATATAACGCACAAATGAGGTGGACTTCAAACGTTAGGTAAGAACCCAAGGTGCGGACGGAGTTATTGATTGTCGCAAACAGCATGAACTCAATGTATCGGTTCTGATCAACAAAAAGTCCACTAATCTACCCAGTCCCTAGTGGAGGTTGCATGGCGCACATTGCTTCTACGTGCAGTGGTTGTGTGGCATGCATTGCTTAAGTGCTCATGCCTCTCGCGCATACATCTGCGGTTCCGAAGTGTCCCTCTCCTTTAACAGAGTTATTATGGCCTGCTATCGCTGGTTGGCTTCCAGGCAGTTCTATACTACTGATAACCGGTGTAATAGTGTCCACCTTTAGTCCAACACAGTTAGCCTCAAGTATCTTACAATGTCCAACGCAATGAGACTTAAGCTTAACGTGATGCGCTGGTTTGTGTCCCTACGATCTATTGTAGTATGCTGTGTTGTGCATTACGCACCTTTAGAGTCAGTCATAGCAGACTGGTCGATGGTCAGAAGCCAAACTCAGTCTTCTGGCCCTCCAGATTAGCGGTTGGGGTGACGACGGCTTTAGTTGGTCTCTCAATAACTTGCTGCTTGCAATCAGGTTTTTGAGGCATGACCTCCCTTCCGTTTAGATTTAGGCAACCTAACAGTATCATGTCGAGGTAATATAACGATCAACTTTTCAAACAATTGCTTGATTCCGACTGGCCGAACAACTTCCTCGTGGTACCAGCCGGGTGGTTCGGGCTTATCTCGCTCCAGCGAATGGTTCGGCGGCAGTGTTCAAGAACGTGGTGCGTTTTCGCCTTGGCAAACGTTCTCCCTATAAAAAGCCACATATGTCCGCTTAACAACATTGTGAAGTGGCGGATGTGACTCGCCAGTAAATAAAGTCATTGCCCCTTGCTTCTCGCTGAGTGGGATTGTAACTTCAGGGTGTGTTGGGCCCCTGGTCCTATGCAGGACCTAAAGGTCTATGAGGTACTTATTTAATCACCGTCTCCCAACGGGTTGCAAAGCCTTCATATCGCCCTGATGTCCTATAGGTTAGATATGTGATCAAAAGCTCGGGGTAGGGCCCTGTTGTATTCCGAAAATGCAGCAGATCAGAGCAGCAACGGAACGTATGTATGGAAAAATACTGTCCGCACGCACGCGCGTTCAAGTAAATCGATAGACGTTCGAAGTGCTAGCAATCAAATGCAAGGCCAAATGATTGGCCAACCTGTGCTAGATAGAAGTGTGAGTAGGATAAGCGAATCGAGGGCAAAAACAAAGGAAAGTTATTGTGAATACCTGTAGCTCGGGGTGTGGATGACATTGTCCTGTTCTCCGAGCCGTGCATTGCTGTTGCAGACGTTTCGTTACCAAAGTAGGCAACATCTTCAATGCGGCTATGCAGTCCTGACTCGCGAAGTCTCTCAAACCAACGCCAGATCCGAATGACTAGTAATTGTTACCTGCTTCGAATGTCAGCCGTCGATTGGTTCATGTGAGTCGGTCGAGTAATCATGTCTTCTCCTTGTCGACCTGATGACTATTGCTGGCTTAACCTGCAGAGCTTCGTAGACACCCTCCAGCTCCAGGTGTTCGTTGATTGAGTTCCGGCCAGAATGCCAGGCCTCGAGGAACTCACGCGCTCTGCGGTTTCTTGCTCTTTCAAGTATTTTAACGTTCTCCAGATCGAAATGATGGTCCTCGGCATCCATGTGTACTGACATTAAGAATTTCTCATCGTGGCGGCGGATGACCAGATTAGGTTCGTGTAGTCTTGTGCCAAGTTTTCTTCCAGTCTTGCGCACATAGTACTTGTCGCAGTTCCAGCAGGAAATTTTGTAAACTAAAGCTGATTTTTCTTCCTTACTCAATTTGTCCGTTGCCTTAAAAAGTTTACTTCGAACAGTTTCCGTTATTTCGTGTGCAACATTTATCCCGTGAGGTATTAGAAGTCTCGCCGCCATTTCGGAAATTCCATGGATGTAAGGTAGGCTAATCGTTCTTC